TTCTTTTCCGATCTGGAGTTTGAACAACGTAGTCAGTGTCACTAATTTTCCTCTCCACCGTGTACGGACCCGAAAACCGAGCATGCAAACTGGATCCCGGCAACGGAAGAAGCACCAAAACCTTGTCACCTGGTTGGAAGACACGGAGGACAGACTTTTTGTCATAACGACTCTTCATTTTAGCTTGACTTTGTGACAAGTTGTCACGGGCTAATTGACACACATAATTGAGACGCTCACGAAAGGAACTGACATAATCTAGCAGCTTATGTTCAGTTTTTGGCGACTCTGCTAACCACTTTTCTTTAAGTAGCCGAAGGGGACCGCGGACAGTATGGCCAAAGACCAAATCACAAGGACTGAACCCCAAAGACTCCTGAGGAGTTTCACGCACGGCAAATAACAGGAGAGGGAGACCTTCATCCCACTCTCGGTTAGACTCAAGACAATATTTACGCAACATAGATTTTAGGGTTTGATGGAACCTCTCAAGTGCACCTTGAGACTCCGGGTGGTAAGGACTTGAAGTTACATGTTTAACTTTTAGCTCTCTCATTACCTGTGCGAACAATTTGGACATGAAATTTGTGCCCTGGTCACTCTGGATAGTTTTAGGCAAGCCAAACGTTGAAAAGAATTTAGTGAGAGCTTTCACGACTGGTTTTGCTCTGAGAGTGCGCAGGGGAATAGCTTCAGGATACCTCGTCGCGGCGCACATCACCGTTAGAATATACTGATGTCCAGATTTAGTTCTGGGTAACGGCCCCACGCAATCTATCAACACTCGTTCAAACGGCTCACCAAGCACCGGGATCGGATGCAGAGGAGCCGGCGGAACAGGTTGGTTGGGCTTTCCCACAACTTGACATGTGTGACAGGTGCGGCAATACTTCGAAACGTCAGTTTTTAATCCGGGCCAAAAGAAATTGCGCAACACACGATGGTACGTCTTTTTAACACCCAGGTGGCCAGCTAAGCTGGAGTCATGTGCCAGACTCAAAATTTGCGCTCGGTAGTCAGTTGGCACAACCACTTGATTTACAGCGCACATCTCACTGGAGTCGGGACTCCACCGTCTCATCAGGACACCGTTGTCCAAAAAAAACCGAACTGGTTTGCTGTCTTCCTCGGCGGCTACAACAGAGGACAGACACGAAGTTAGAGACGGATCACTCATCTGGGCTTTAGTCAACATTTCTCGGGTCACATTTAAACTTAGGTCTGTGTCAGCAGGAAATAGATCAAACTCATTGATGCATTTTAATACATTTTCACACTCATCGGATGACACTGAACAGGAGGGCTCACCCTCAACTAGCGTAGCCATAAACGACTCAGACAAATCCACATTTTCACCCAATTTACGAGCCTGTGCACGCGTAATTGCGCACACAGGAAACAGATTTGGCACAGACACAGCAGAAGAGGCAAAGGGTGAACAGCAAGCAGACACCGACGAAATTGGGTCACTAACTACTTCGGGCAGAGGAAACACTTTTCCTCCGGCCAAATCGTTACCCAAAATAAACGAAACGCCACTAATCGGAAACTGTGGGAGCACGGCAACTTTCACCTGTCCAGACACAAGCGCTGAATGCAAGTGAATCATGTGCAGTGGGGCATGAAGTTCACTCATTTTGATTCCCCACACTAGCAAATCAGAAGAACACGACGTTTCGTTGGAGAGCGGCAGCACATTAGCCAGCATGAATGAATGATAGGCGGCTGTATCTCGAAGAATAGTTACTGGCACTTTTTCCGATTGCTCGCCAGTTAAAGAAACAAAACCGTGAGATACGAACGGCTTGAACCGAGGGTCAACCTCCGCGTATTTTTCTTCAGGTAACAGCTCAGTATGTTTTACCGGTGGTGACACTGTGTTTATGAAACCCACACCGGCAGGAGGTTTAGTACCTTTGTGTGGTCCTTTTTTCCTAAGAATCGGACAAACCGCGATCAAATGGCCTGGCTCATGGCAATAGAAACACTCACGGCCCTCACCCGCTGTTGGTGAGGTGCTTTTACGCATCATCTTTGGCGACCGAACTCTGCGCTCAGGCATTACTTGAGAAACGCGAGGCGCCGGCATAGAAAAAACGCTTTTATGAGTTAAAATGAACTCATCAGCCAGAACAGCCGCTTTCGTTACAGATGATTCTTTTTGTTCGTTCAAATAGACCACAATTCTTTCCGGCAAACACTTTTTGAATTCCTCGAGCAAAATGAGCTCTCTGATTTCCGCCATGTTTTTAACATTACACGCCTGGCACCATTTATCAAACAGAATGCTCTTGTCACGCACAAACTCAACATATGTCTGGTTAGCAGTTTTATCACTATTCCTAAATTTTTGTCTGTATGCTTCCGGGACCAGCTCGTAGGCCTGTAACACTGTCTTTTTCAGTATTTTATAGTCAAGACTATCCTCAATAGACAGACTGGCACAGACTTCTTGAGCTTTCCCCACTAATTTACACTGGAGGAGAAGGGACCAGAACTCTTTAGGCCAACTCAGGGCAGCAGCTATCCGCTCAAAAGCGCTAAAATATGAGTCAACCTCTGACTCGCGAAACGGAGGGACTAAAGCTATGTGCCTACTAATGTCAAAAGCCGGAGTAGAAATAGCACTGCGGTCAAGAGGAGACATCGGGGTGGAGACTACCGGGGCTCCCTTTTCCAGTTCGAGAGCCCTGATGCGCAGATGCATTGCTTGCACCTCTAGCTGTCTGTTTTTGGTCTCTACCTCCTTTATTTGGAGGGCTATGCGGAGATCCTCTGTGGTCATGTTACCCATGACAGGATCTATGACCGGCTCAAGTCCTACACCCGTAGCGAGCATGCCAGCAGCCCCTGCCGCTTTCACGTCTGCCATCGGTGCGTCACCCGCCGCGCCGCCCGCAACAGCAACATCAGTAGCTGGTTCAGGTATGATGCCCTGCTCCACCAACTCTGCACACAGCAACCGTTTGATCTCCGCCTTATTGGCACTGTAGGGCACCTGCACATTATAACAATTTGCCACCATCAAAAGGTCCTTTTTCTTACATTTTTCAATTTTAGCAAAAGATGGACCAGCCACAAACTCATCCAGTGAAAACTCCATAATTCCCCCCACACACCAAATCACTGCCAACCAGACAAAAAATCTTCCATAGAACAACACAGAAAACGAGGCGAGACAAGAAGACGGACGAGCCCCCAATTCATGTTACGCCCCAGTCTAGGGGTGCCTAAGGTGCAACATGAATAGGCCCCAATCTTCCCCGTCTCCCAAGTAGCCACACACACTTTAAGTTTGTATAGGGGATATTTATTGAAAAAAAGCTCTAGGTTGAGAAAAACCCAGTATGTTGAGGCAAAGACAAACCACGGCTTCGCCGTTGCCCATCCCCAATATAACAAACAAACCAAAAAACGAACCTAGCTAGAAAATAAGACGCTGACCTACCAAAACAAAGGAGAAAAATAATGACATCAGTCTTACCTACCTAACTACTTTAAAACAGGAGAAAACCAACTCAAAAGAAAAACAGAATACTTATTCAGCTTCACGGTATGCTACAAGTGGCTGGTTGGAAGAGGAGGAGGACGAGGGTTGTGCTCTGCTGCTGTTCTCCCCTGCTCTGGTCTGCTCTGCCTCGGACGCCATCTTGGCTTCCATTATATGCCGGCTGCAGCCAATCACAGGACGGGTGGGAGACCGTCCACCAATCCGCGCCTGGTGGTGGCACATCCCTGTTTGAATAAAGAAACCAGAAAGACACCAAAAGAAACCCACAAACACTACACAGATGACCCCAGTCATAACAGACCCCAGAATCTATTCCCCCATTCCACCTTTATGTTAATATAAAATAAATGCTCAAATATAACTTTAATTTGCCACAAAGACATTCAGACTGTTACATAGTACCAATTTTTATCTATAACTGCTCAATTGACACTTACATTTCAAGTCTCTCTTAATTTAGCTTCTCCTGACTATTTTAAGTTCTACTTTTTTGGAGCCAAGGCTACAGTGAGCCATGCGAATGGGAATTTATGGGCTAGTGCCATTCTAAAAGTAATCTACTATTAAGAATTATATCCCATTTGATTATTATTACTCTGTTCATCCACCAGAAACCAAAAAAGGCGAATTCATTGCTGTGATCCAGTGTATTCAAACGCCCTGCATAGAAGCAAGCAGACACAAAACACGTGACAGGGTGAAAAGTGAAAGCTGGTAATGTTTCAGAGCGTTAGAGGACATTCAGATGTTTCTACTGAGGGATATAAATCTTGATGGACTCCCATTCAAGTGTATTCATTAATCGCGCGTCTCATTGGCGAGCCGCTGATTTGCCGCTGAGACAGATGAAGATGAACTCGGCAATATATTTCTCATCATAACACAACACTCGCATAAATATTAATGGCATATTTTCAGCTGGTGGGCATGAATCATCGCTCCGACAGGGAATTTTAAGAGCTCGTCCATGCGTTTCCAAGAACAGTACATAAGCAAGCCGTTTTTAAGGCAACAGTGAGGAGGAGGCTTCCACTGCACTAGAGATTTAGAAGGTCTTTATTTTACTTCACGCTCCTTCCATCAATATATCCGATTATTTAACTGCATAGCTCATCAACAAAAACGTTCCATTGCGCAAGTGACAGTTGTGAGTGATGGATATAGCCGTTTAGGAGTTAGATGCTGACGTTTTCAGACGGACCTTTGTGTAATATGGAGGCGTTAAAGAAAATATCCACCCACTGATACTTTAAAGATGACTATTGATGGTTCCCTGGTAATCACAATCGTCACCAGACAAACTTGTTGCCAGTTGCATTGTGTGAAAGTGGCCAAACATGTTTTACTTTCTGTTTGACTGTTTTTATATCAGAAACCAGTAAGTGCTCCATTGCTAATCTAAGGATTTCTTCGGTTTGTCCAGTTTTTAACCATAGACAGCCATTGATACATACATCAGTCATTGGCGGTTCTTTTTCTGTGATTTCAGGTGTACAACCACCATTACAAAGCCGTGTTGGATGGAGTAGAGCGAGACAGCATCATGGAGATTGACCCAGGTCAGCGTGTTGAGATTTTCAGAACGGGAAGCGGCAGCGAGGAGGTACTTGAAGTGCACGACTTCAAGAACGTAAGTCTTTTGTTGAATACTTCTCGGCGCAGTGAGAATTGTGATTTTCACATTCTGCCCTTGTCAAAGAGACACCTACCAACATTTGTCCTTTGTCAAAATCATATTTTCCCAAACAATATTTTCTTCCCTTTTGTCGCCCATTGAAAACGGGTACGACAAAATGTTTTGAGAAGATAATGGAAGTGATACTCAGAAAGATGTACTCGAGGGTCTGAAAGATCCCTGACTCGACTGTGTTAAAGTGCATTCACACAAACACAAGGAACGGTTTTCTTGCTGCTAATTGTACACAGTAACTTCTTGGCACTACAGACACACACACACCATTAAAAAGCCCATCTCTACTGGTTTATCACACCTTCAACTGCAATTTTGTATCCAGCAGCTTTCATCGACTTACCTTTCATTCCTAGAACCTTTCTCGGGTGTGCAGGAGGTTACACACGCTGCATCTCGGCAGCAGGCGGTTTGACTCGTTAATGAATTCTCACCCCCACTATTTACTGTGAAGCGTTGCAGGACGCTAGTCTTCCCAAACAAAGACCTGCATTGAATTATTGCTTTGGTTACACTGGTCTGTGCATCTGAAATAGCAATACTGCGCCTTTAACCTCTGCAATCAATCTCCATTTGTTTTTGCCTCCCTCACCAAGTACCTGTGTGCGTCTCTCACAATTCCCCCCCTCCCCAGCAATCTCTCACTCACATAAAGCCATGTGCATGTTGCTTGTTCCACTTCCTGTTAGTAAAGTACAGCCTCCAGGGAGATTTGTTGGACTCCACCATGGAAGACTCCGAAGCAAGCGACTGAGCAGAGCAATTCAAACCGTAGTGATTTGTTTTTACAAAAGGGAAGGAAACTTACACAAGAAAACAATTGGTTGTACTAAGAGGCAGCTTGTGTGCGGATGTTGGAATATATTTTTTTTATATGTAGAAAAAAAATAATTTGATACACAGACCAAAGCCACCTCTGAAACAACCCCCATCAAGCCAGAGGGCCGCGTGAGGAAGGGAAAATGTGGACTTTGACTTGGAAATTCCACTCGCTTTTTCCCAGAGCAATATCGCATTCATTTCAACAGGAGAGAAATACAGACAATCAGCAGGGACATTTTCACAATACCATTTTTTATAAGACAAATATTCTTGACATGTGAGCAAAAGCACATCAAGGTAAATTGGACTTGCACTGCCTTTGTGTTACAGCTCAAATTAGAGTAGAAACATTGACATATTGGGTTATTTTTAGTGTTTTGCACAATCACACTTTAAAAATGGCTGTTTTGGACTCCAGCACAAAATTTCACCAGAGGGCTCTCAAGTTAAAAACTTTCCTCTTTACAGTAAACAACGGCCATGAAACCATCGTCTCTGCTGGTGAACCGGACTGCATGTTTTCTGATATTTACATTGAGATTTGATCTCGCCGACTTATTTTAAACTTGTGTGCCCCTCACCGGTGCGATGTCACGAAGCCATATCTTCAGATAGACGTATATTCAATGACGTTTCTCTCATGCCACCAGGTGATGCTAATCACCTGAAACTTGACCAATTGAATGAAATGTAAATCAAACCGCATGATGCTACCCAGCGAATACAAACGTTTCAATCCAATAGGGATGAACAAAAAACAGTTTTATCTCAGTACTGCAAGTGTTGCTGGCTTCCGCTTGCCAACAGAACTACATCAGTTGTCCGCTTCAACACACGTAACACAACCATCATCAGCTCACATATTGCCAGCTACACAGCAGATTGAATTATGGTGAATCCAGGCTACAGCAGTTATCAGTCATCTTGTTTTACTGGCCTACCTTCAGAGGACGTCTTGCCTGAAGCTGGAACCAACATCCGTAAATCCACACAGATGTTGGAAGAAACAGCTGGCGAACGCAGCCAGCAGAAGTAGAATTCATCTCAATGACATGGATTTAGTAGAATGAGTTACATTCAGCTTGCGTACAATTTATATGTCCAAAAAACATGAAGCACCTTGTAACTTAAAATGATATGCGACCTCCAATGACTTAAGCTTACTTAAATGTACTTAAATGTATAGCTCAACATAAACTGCACAGACACGAGTAGTCAGCTAACATGACGTGAACTAACAAGACTGTCAACCAGTCGTAAGGAAGTTGCGGTTTCTCCATTTAAATTACGATCCAAGACATGTAGACAGTTTTGACAGACTTTGTTTGAGTGCAGGCGATCAAATATTAAGCACACTTGATATCACTGTCAGTGATTAACAGCCAACCGTCCTGCTGGCTAAACACTGGTCAGCTGCATCGCAGCTCCCTAAATAGATTAACTGGATAATTGGACAGTTCCATTCTGCAACAGCAAGAGGGGGTTGTCAGGAGCCTTCACGTTGGAACTTCAGAAGAGGAATGTCTTCACCCCCCTGCAATTAGCTATGGACCAGCATAGTATATAACACAGTTTGGGGAGCAGTTGTTCTTGTTCAGTAGAGCCCTTGTGATGTTGGTTTAAACCAGTACCTGGAAATTAGGTTGTTGTTAGACTTCAGGGTAATTATGTTGCATTTATTTCATTATTGATTTTTCTGGTCACCCATCTTATGTTTTGGGTGAATAAAATCTCCATTTTTCCTACTTTACCCACTCCCCCATCTTTATGCGTTTCCTGGTCCTTCACGCATGTGTCAATTAAAACCCGTGGACCTTACTCAAGTATTATAACAAGAACACTTTGCTGGCTAATGGGTGTATACACGCCTCTTGGGATTGTCAGGAAATAGGTTACTAGGCAGTAGAGAGTGGCTTGAAGTGTGACTCAAGTGACCGGGACGAGTCTGAGGACAATTCAAGAGCATGTAGAGGAATGGCAATGCAGCTGTATGTGGGCGTGAATGTCACTCATATCACCCTGTTGTTTCAACATAGTCATTGTAAATAGCTTGTGACATTTATGCATTTTCAAAAGTATGCTGTAACATTTGTGCCAATAAAACAAACATATTGTGTCCATTACTCTCTCCCAAGATAGCTTTGGGCCAATGGAGATTCTAATTTCATTATCATATTATCATAAGTCAGGTTTAGCCTGGTAAGCTAATTTCCACTCTGCTACTGCTCATTTTCTGAAGGCTATTAAGATCATTTATTTGAAACGCGGAATATAAATATCATAAATGTCAAGCTGAAGCCAAATGCAATTTAAAAAAAAAAAAGATCCCTCAATTTTACAAGTGTATAAGTAGCATTAAAATTATGCTTATCAAACAGGTCTAAAGTATTTTGGATGAAAGGTTTTAGAATTCATGTATTTTTAAGGATTAGAAATGGTTGTTGGCTTATGCTTGACGGGGGTTGCAATTAGGAGGGCCCTTAGGGAAATGTTCTCCTGTGCAAGGGTTCTTTTGCCCCCCAAAAGTCCCCAAATTTAAACCACAACCATTAGGATTTTCAGTTAGATTTTTAAAGATGAACAGAGGTCCCCTTAAATACAGAAATATGTTGATAATATCAAGACACAAACTAATCAAATACCTGCTACACACTTTATTCCCAGGAGCTGCATGATGCATGCATGCATGTTCTCCATTCTCATGAATAGATAAGCATCTTGCAGATTTTATCCATGTGAGTTTAAATTACATTACTTTTGCATTTCTCATCCCTATGTTAATGTGTCTGTCTTCATTTTGTGATTGACCAACCGCAGTAATCGCATCTAATCACAACCCCGCCATCTCCTCTTTTGCTGCAGCTCGCCAAAACAGAAGATGCAAATTAAACAGAGACTCATCACAATAAAGCCTGACATAAACATTATGCTTTTGTGCATGACACCATTATTGCCCCATCCTTTTCCCACCGCACAAACAAATGTACACGTGGTAAATTATGACAGACATCACCATGTACCATGTCGCATGGGTCAGGTATCCGGCTCTCAGATTGACAGCCTCACAGAAAAATTAGAAAAAGCCCCCACATGGTCAAGTTAACCGACTCAAAGGGAGATGTCATAGCAAATCACTGCGGTACCGTAATAAAATTTAGATTGAATCAATCATTAGCATACAGTTCTTACAATTTACAATTTTCAGTTGATACAATTGAAAAGCAGCCGCAGCAGATGTAGATCCTGCCGCCTGTTTTAATGCAGTTTGCTGAAAGGGCAGTTCTAGCCTGCAGAAAATAAATTGGATACAATCTGAGCTACTCAGACTCTTTCAGACTTATTCCATCTGAATATCTTAGATTAACAAAGAATGGCAGCGAGAGAGAAGCGCCAGATCTTTCTTGCCTATTGAGGCTCTATGTGTCAGTATGAATAGAGCTACAGTCCACATGGCGGAGGATCATCAGTGGAGCTGAAGAGAGTTACTCCACTTGACTGCACAGATTAAGAGTGTGACGGGGACCTATGACTGACTAATTTAATGGGGTCACTCTCTGCAGAAAAAACACTTCATTCTCAACAATGTCCCCGTGCTCTCCTGTGCGATATATATATATATACATATATATATATACCGTCATGTGCTTCATACACGGAGGAACACCCCAGCCTCTTTCCTGCCATTCAGTCCTAAATCCAGCACTGAAAGGAAAAAGACGAAAAAAAGAGCACAAAACACACCTTTCCTCACTCATTAGGTCGCAACTTCTTTCACTTTTTGCAGAGCTTTGATTATCAGCAAAAAAAAGAGCATTTGAAAACGACCGTCGGAGCGCTTAAGGGTTATCCACATCCCAGCGAGCGAATGAATGATACATCTCTGAAATTTGTAAGTATATATCCCTTCATTTCTTTTTTTCTCAAAGGGAATCACTGGGATCCGATTTGCCGAACATCAGAGGTGCTACATCAAGACCCAAACCAGGCAACTACCCGCAGAGGTGGAGGAAGAGGAGGCTGAGGAGGCAGAGCAACTGGTACCCCACCCCCCATCTGTCAGTAGTCCTGCAGAGGCTGTCATGCATATTGTAGAGAGATAACCAGAGTAGAGCTCTGTGAGAAGTACACAAATCCTCTGTGTGTCCATCTCATCCTGTCTCCCCCCCCGCCCCCCCTCTGAAGAATAAACTGTGGTCTGTGGTGCCTGTGAAACCGTCAGAAAGCAACCCGCAAAACCCAAAGCATCTTTGTGGCTCATATCAAATGGTGTTTGCTGTCAATCTTGAGCCAATATAAATGTTTAATTATCTCCTCCAAAGGCACTGCCCAAATAGCCTGGAGGGGTGAGGGGCACAAGAGAGGGCTTGAGTGAGAGGTAACCCATTAAAATGTTTTTTACTTGGTAAAATTCAAGAGGCGTCCTCACCAAGACTGATTCCTTTTTTTTTCTTGGTTCTTCTAGTTGTATGTGAACTTCACCAAAAGGAATGGAAGGAATTCAATCAATCAAATTTCCCAATTTTCAGTGTTAGTGCAATTCACTGAGTGGGCCCTGTGTTCAAAGAGAAAACCCATCTCTCAAATGTCTCTACTGCTCGCATGCCCTCATTTACATTTCACATTGTAGCTTGGAGGAACTAGTTGGCAAATATCCGACGCTCCTCGCTCACTGCTTCAATTTAAAACAGAATAAGCCAATTGGCGGTCCAAGCATAACCCAGGCTCAGTTTTATCTTTGAGAAACCCCAAAAATCCCTCTCACCTCCATATTGTCTGATCCACGTTAACAGATGCTAATTACCCAAGCGGCGTCCTATGTCCATGCAATGAGTGTCTTCTTGCACTGTGAAGCCTAACTGGCTCAATTCACGGTTTTAACGTGGAACATCTAAGGCCCAAAGTCATTAAGGCTCATATCGCTAGTTACGGCAGCCATTTTGACCGACGTGAGGATAATACGGTTTACCTCAAAAGAAAGAAAGAAACAAACGTATTTCCCAAAAATGTCAAACTAATCCACTCAATACATTGAAATATCGTACATTATCTCTCTGTAGCAATATTTGCAGTAGAATACAGTAATGTTCAACATTACTGAAATACCGCTACAGAGGATGGAACGCTGAGAATCCTCCATTTGGGGCTGACACAGTAGGCAGCTAGCCTGCTGTGCGTGTTAGCTCATCTGAATACTATTTATTGGGAAAAGACGTGATAAGTGTGTCCCATTGAGTGACAGCCGGCTACTAATGTTTGTAGCCTACGTCAAGGGTGAAAGGTGCTCTGCACTGTAACATACATACATACATGAAATTGGACCACTTAAACTGCTGTGAAGCGCTCATGGAGAGCATTGGGGTTTAGAGTCTTGCTCGAGGGCACTCTGACCTTCGGACAGGAGCTGGGGATTGAATCGCGAACCCCACAACCTGCTGCGTCCACTGAGCAACAGTCGGTACTCTAATACGTGTACTGTAACTGAGTGTTTGTAACGCCCCGCTGCCCATTATACGGTGAGCAACTCCTTCGGGAGAACGCACCAACGTGTGACCCTGGAGAAGATCAGCACCAGGTCCTCCTCAGGAGGTGGAACAGGTGAAGCTCAAAGGGGTTAAAGCACAAACAGTTCCTGGCTTAACCCGGCGGCTGGCTTTTAGGAAATGGGGCTCAGAGTGGCTGCGGCAGGCTTTAGAGCCGAGGTGAAAGACAATGGAGAAAAAATTGCGGCAAAACTGCAAGCGGCTGATAAGGAAATGCAGCCCCTGCGAGACAAAACCAGGTGACGAACATGAATTGTTTGCCAGGATTTTTCCCCTCCCTTTTCAATTTGACTCCTCTGTGAAATATCTGAGGGAGTAATCCCCAAGCTTCATCCCGGTTCCCTCCGTCGGACACGGAAATCGCCATCCACCTCCCTCACATCCCTCAGTATTGTCAAGCGATGCTATTTGGTACATTAAAAAGCCACTTAATATGGATGACCAAAGCTCGCCCAGCAACACAAAACCTCCCACTCAGACAACAACCGCACGGAAAAACAGAAAAACACAGATTTCACAGAATAAGTCCTGCCAGCACGCAGTGTGCTCTGTTTTGTCTTAGATTTGTCTGCATGAAGATGTGAGCTCAAGTTGTGGAACATTGGAACAGTCCTGCCTTCAGTTTCCTTCATTTGATGACACAAGTCCTGGTTCCGAAATTCATCCACGTGGCTTTTGACGACTCATAGGACTTATTGGTAAATGGAAAAGCAATTGCTAACATGCTAGCCACGGGAACATGCTAGAACATGCCCAGAAATATAAATAAAACATCTGTACACACATATTCTATATGTTCTAAATAAAAGATTGTGCAAATCAAAGAATATTGAATGACAGTGTACATGTACGGTTTAAGATGTCGGCATACTGTTGAACTTATTGACGGCCGCTGATCATTTGTAAACTATCCGAGGATCCGCTTCTTCTCCCTCAGATACAGTTTAATAAGACTGGACAGTGCCACACATCTAATTAACATACTTTCTTTATTTTATTTTATTTTACTCTCGTTTCTGTTCCTACAAAGGTCGACACTGTCAAGACAGTTTGCTATTTGTCAGCGCCGCAAATTTGCATGTCAAAGCTCACTAAAGTTCAACTGATGAAAATGCAAATTTCTTTTGCAAATCAACTTTTAATTCTATTGAGATGAACAGATTTATTTCTGTGTACTTTTGCTTTCACAAGTTACTGTGGCATTTAGTGACCTTAACCGTCATCCTACTAACATATTTAACAAACAAGGACTACTCACAGGGAGAATAAACTGTTCTGAAAATAAAAATAGAAATAAACACAAGCACATGAGGAGAAGGTTGTGTGCTGCACCTTCAAATCTGCAATTGGCCGCTTTTAAATGAGACCCCCAGGACCCCAACAGATTGTTATATTTAAATGATGTGAAAAGCATAAATCCAACAAGAAAAAGATAATAATTATATGAAGCCATTTAAAACAAATTGATGGACAACGCCATAAAAAAGTGCTGTGATGAAATAAAGCACATATGAGCGAATGGCGGTCCTGTGGGGTCGCTGGTGCAAACTAAAATTCACCACGTGGTAATCTGCTTGTTGTTTTATGTACAATGTGAGAAAGCTTCAGGGTATCATGAGATCTTTTGTTGATCTCTGGCAAACATTGCTTCATTTTAAACACTGTGTCATGCATCGAAAGATCCCCCCACCGCCCCCCTCCCCTCGGGACACAGTGGCAGGAGAGGGTAAATTCATTAACCGCAACACGACTGGAGTATAATTAAGTTGTGCACCTCAGACGGGAAGCATACAACCACCATGGAGCAGGCCGCACAAAACAAATTACCATCATTCCCAAAATCCAATACTCGCTAAAAAGTTGCCTGTGTCCTAATAGTATATAATTCCTCAATAGCAAAGGGGAGAAACCCCTCAAAAGTGTGTTTCAACTAGAGAACTGCAATCAGGTTGTCTTTGTGCTTGTCAACTGGCATTTAGAAATCCCCGCCCCACGCTAAAACGCTGACCTTTGCCACCTCCCCCAGGCCCTCTCCTGCAAGTTATCCGAGTGGTTTCTCAAATGGGAAGTCAAAGTCGTGTTGTGAGCCCCGTGTCGTGACCTCCATTCACTTTCCCGGAGAAGACTCACTTGGCTTCAGTGGTTAAGAGGTCCAATTAGAGAGCGCTGTTTGTCTTTCCTGAGTTGGATGTAAATTTCTGCTACCCCACGTTCTCAAAGCCATCCTTAGTCCGCCGCTTCAGTCTCCCTGCACAAAAAAAAAAACGAAATCGTCGATGTGTCAGAATGTGCTGAGGGTTTTCGGGGGGTGACTGCGGGTCACCAACTGTGTTGCTCGATGACAACCAAGACGAAGCGTGGGGAAAAAATAAACTGTAATTCAAGCGAGAGTGACAGGGGTGAACGTGAGTGAGTGGGCTCTATCCAATATTAATTATTCTTGCTTCAGCTTTAGCCCCGAGATTCTACGTGAAGCTTAACTAATGTGCAATTAAGCTTTAGACTGAGAAAATCACCTTGTAAAAACATTTGTCAAGTGAACTGTTTTTCTGTTCTGGGTTGCTAATTAACAAGGGAATGTGAAGAGGGGTTTGTTTGTGTGTGTGTGTTTGTGTGTCTGTTTGTGTGTATTTACATCAACATGGAGAAAATAAATATCTGCACTGTTCAGGGAGAACCAAACACCCTTCATACGTCTCTATTAGACACCACTGACATGTAGTGCCTATCATTAAGCAATAATAGTTTACTTTACAGCTCATGAACTGCAGTATCAACAAATTAAGTCCACTGATAGCGCTCGGTGCCAAGCGAAGCATTGTGGGGGAGGGGGCAAGGAATGGGGGGGGGGGGGCAATGCAAGGTTTTATTGTGTCTGTCACATTAAACGATATTGCAGCCACACTCCGAGTAATGAAGACCACTTCTAAAGTCATTTAAAAGTCAGATCATCACTGTCTGTGAATTCCAATGACGCATAATAGAAAGAGCACGCCGCAGGCTGGAGGAGAGGGTGAGGGAGGAAGAGGAGGGAGTCAGGGCAGTGGGAGTAGGGAGTCAGGGAGCTGCCGCCCCCTCTGCATGTCTGCAGAAAAGTGATGGATAAAAAACGATGAGGATGGAGCTGCTGGGTGGCTCAAGGGAGGAGAGTGTAAATGTAAGGCTGCACATTTTGTGGGGCCTGGACATTTTTTGCAGACTCTAACATGCTGTATTATATTATATACGTGTGTGTGTGTGTGTGTGTGTGTGTGTGTGTATGTTGTTGTTCTCACAGGTGGATGAGACAGAGGCCACGGATATGAAGGTGGAAGACTCCCAAGTGTGGGTTCCTGCTGAGGAGGCCATCGTTAACCCGGCCTTCCTCTTTGACTCCAAGATCTGGGAGATTTGCCAGGAGCTGCCCATCCACTGGATCCATCGCTCCCCTCTGAGCGGTGAGAGCAGGGGGCATCTCTGCCTCTAAACGCAGACTATTAACACGCTCACCGGAGGGCATCCCCACAGGCCGTGCGCAGCTCCACAGGGGTGGGGGAGCGTGTTTTTTTCCCATCCAATCTACTCTCTGCGTGTTTGGAACGTTGAGAAAGTGGTCAGTTGGAAGCATTCGGATCCGTTTCGCCGTGGATGTCCTCCGCGTTTGAGACACGGCAGAAGTTTAGTGTTGGTCGCAATCTGCAACGTCACCTCTAGATGCCACCAAAAGGGGAAAAGAGTGTGTTTTTCTTTACAGTGAAGAACGCCTTGCAGGCTATTTTAATGTACAACATAAACTACATTTTAACATTGTTTTCTCTTCATATGAGTACAATCTGTCAGTGTAGATGGAGTACAGTACCAAACACAGAAAAAAAACAGGATAAGAGCTGGAAAGTGACTGAAGAGAGAACAAACAACACCTTAAATGTACCTTCAGTACATATTTAGTACCTTATTTTGGTTACCGTGTAGAGGAGCATCAAATATATATATTTGTTATGGATCCAATATTCATACTACCATGGATTCAAGGGAACATGCCAACAGAATGATATATGAAGGCAAGCGTAATACAACTTTTAAGTATCCTCAGAGACCAAATAACTGAACAAATTGAAGTACAACATTTTGTTATTGGTTGTGTATGTGTGTACTTTGACGTGTGCGCTGGGACTTATAAAAGGTTGTTTAAACTATGGTAGACCATTTCTGTTACTTATGCTGAGAAGAGGGAAGATTATACAATATTCTCCTATAATATTTCTTCTCTTTGCTGCGCATAGTTCATTGAATTTTCATTACGCTGTTCTGTACTGTGGCTTATATTTTCTGTGAACAAAATAATGACTGAATCTCAAAAGAAGGTGCAATGAAAGGTTGCCGCTTTGAAAGGATCACCTTGTCCACAAAAGACGGAAATTCAAAACAGTGTCATAGTATATATATATGGTTTTTTTATGCAGCTAGATACATTTAATAAATAAAATCGACGTGTAGAGTCGCAAAAAAAATTGGAATACTCAAATGAAGTACAGGTATCTCAAAGCTGTACTCAAGTACATGTTAAGTTACATTCCATCACTGCTGATGGTCTTCTGTAGATTTGCTTTTTAGCGACTGCCTCAAAGGGACGTTGAGGCTCCACTAATTAGTACCTGTAAAAAGTCCTCGGTGTGCGAGTATCGCAACAGCAACGCCGCCGTTGTTTGACGGAAGCATAAAAGGCTTCCAGCGTTCCCCTGGATGTCAGGCTAGAAAGAGAGAAGCATAAAACGTCTCCTCTGTTTGCCTCTCAGATGCTGAAGTGGGAAACGTGGACGCGCCCGACGCAGAGGTCACAGGTCAGCGGTTTGCCCGCGACGTCCTGGACCACCTTGCTGTCAACGACTACGTAAGTCGGCTCGTCGCGCGGGGGGCCACACCGCGAGACAGAGCGGAGCCCCTTCAATCAGCTCCACTCCACTTTCTGCATATGAATCGCTCACTAATTGATGTTAAAACTGACTTTGTGCACCACAGGGCACAGCAATTGCTCTATATATCTGTTTAAGTAAAGCCAGTTCAATGAAGACTCCCTTAATGTCTCTCCATTAATTGAGAGGAACATCCAGCCTTTCAAAGGCAGAAACTTGTGCCTTACAGCGGCCGTTACTTCCTCCTCTCCCTTCCTCTTTTCTGAGGCACTACAAAGCCGCACTCTCAAGGTCACTCGTAGCTTCGCAGATAAGTTGCATTTATTAATAATGCTTTAATTATCAAAGCGTGTAAGATGACTGGGAAAGCCAAGTGGCGTGTTTTGCTGGGCTGCATGAAAACCACTCGGTGGCGTAACCGTTCATCAGCCCTGGCTCAGTAGATTACACCCGAAAAATGGCGCACTCTTTTTCACGAAAAGAAATAGCAGTTGCACGCTGAATATAACAGGTGCAAAGATACCCGACACCTTCGACACTTAATGGTGAATGGCCACTGAGGCTAAATTCAAGGATAATGCATCGGATTCTGTCTCCTCTTCAGAGCTGCGACAAATGGTGAGAGACGCGCAGAGAAATGAGACGTCCTATAATGTTGACATTCATCTTAGAAAACACTTCCCGCTGAACCCCTCACCCCCCCCCCCCCCCGAGCCTTTCCCGACGCTCTCCCTCGTCGTCCGCGGCGATGAGATGCAGCGCTGTGCAATTACGACATACCGAGGGATGAAAAGCTGGGCTCTCCTTTTGAAAACGCTCTGGCGCTATTAGCTGTTAGCGACGCGTGCCACTGCAGTCCAATCCGGCAGCACATCCAGGCTCCGTTTGTGGGTCCAGGGACAACAAAGGTCTCTGTGGCCAAGCAGAGGGCCGGCCGTACTCTGTAATTGGGAGTCTGAACTCATTCCAGGGTGCCGGTGTGTGCGTTAGCCTAACCTGTCATTTTTTTGTTTTTGTTTTTGCTTTGTCCAGAACTCATGTAAATGTGCACAGTTAGAGAAAAAAAACAAGCACGCACACACACACACACACACACACACACACTGCTCACACTCCATGCAGGTCCTTTCAGCTATCAAACTCTTTGTAAAGCGAAATCACAGTTTTGAGTCCCTGCGACGGACGTTGACAGATATATGAAGCTGACCTTTGCTGCGGCCGCCATGTCAGAGTGCAGTGTGTATCAGAGGGGGACCTTGAAATCTCAAACTGAATAACTACCATGTGACAAGGCTGAATGGACGGTACCACTGTCCTTGACCCGTAAAGCAAGGAAGGGATTCCAATACGAATTGACCTCAAACACGTACGCGTGTAAACATACTTGGCGTTTGTTTCTGCCTGCAATGGGGGTGTTTGTGTGTATGTGTGTGTGTGTGTGTGTGTGTGTGTGTGTGTGTGTGTGTGTGTGTGTGTGTGTGTGTGTGTGTGTGTGTGTGTGTATGTGTGACCATATTCAGAGCGATGCTACATGGCTTTTCATGCGTAAAACAGAGGTGCAAAAAGCTGAAGGAATTTGAAACCACGAAAGCTGTTTGTGCCTCCAGAGAAATCCTTACAGTGAGGCTAAAGCCCATTATCACTGTGGTTCAGTGTTTACTCATTTATACATTTTTATACACGACTATCTCCGTATTCAATTACCTCCAATTCTATCGTCATTCCACCTCACTGCAGAGATAAGAATCTGTGATCAGGGACAAGTGCCGAGGCGTTTCTATATTTTGTCACTGTCCTGTGCCTCGACATAAAAAAACACCTTTTGGAATACAAAGCAGGCTATGAAACAGAAATGTTATCTCTGCTGTTTTGATCCCAGAATGAATGGCGGGGAGCTCGGCTACGAGATTTAATACCACACGTGCTCCAAGCTCATGAAGAGCGGTGATCAGCGTGTGTGAAATAACACCAACAAGTGTGGAGATTAGGGGAGCCGCGCTTTGATTCATTACATCTTATTGACTGACTGACGCAGTTTTCTACTCTGCAAGACTCATTCTATCCAGCCCTCATATTATGCACAGAGGTGCCTCCGCGTGTGTGTGTGTTAGTGTGTGTGTGTGTGTTTGCATGTGTATACCGGAGTGTGTGATGAAATCAGATGCAGCAAGGGGGTAATGGCTTTTACTCTTCATTAATGCCGCTTGTGTTTGAGTGACTGCCTCAGATTTCCCAAGGTGAACCATTCTCTTCACCGCAGCATCCCGCTAGAGATGAAAACTCAAAGCCGCAGTGATTAATATGTACCCTCCGTTTTCAAAGGATAGCTCTGATTAATTGTCTTTAAGGTACAGTGCTGCCTATTGGTTGTTTGTTTTGATAATTAGCGCTTCATTTGATTAAAATATTTTCTTCGCCGAGCTGCAGATTTTTCCCAGAAATCCTAATTTGGGCTCCGCGGAGCAGATGGGATTAGCATTGGTCCAGTGACAGCTTTCGTGTTGTTTCCATCAACAGATTGTTGCCTGGAAGCCGACGACCCAAAAACTTGACTGTAACAATAAATCATTAAAAGCCCACCTGCGCTTGTCAGAGCAATAAATCAGACCTGGCTAGAGACGTCCTCTGCAGCAGCACATCCATGTGTTTCAAGTATGTGTCACGAGCGTATGGTGTCACAGCCCGGCTCCACGGCCGAGACAAAAACAAAAACCAGGAGACAAATGAGCTGGCAGTTAATAGAGCAGTTTTTATTATCCACTTTTATTTGCTCGAACACCAGCGGGGCCGAGGCTGCCAAACAAAGACACCCTTCTGGTAGAGACATCTCCCCCCCTCCTCCCCTTTGCCTCTCCGGCTCAGGTGTGGCTCATCCGGCAGAGGAAGGACGCTCCGATCCGCAACAGATCGCATAGCAGGAACACAAAGGGAGGCTCCTCACAGCCGGCAGGATGCCTTTCTTTCATGAATCATGCTTATTTTCTTATTTCTTGTTACGTGACTTCAATTAGGGAAACAAACGTCTCTGTGTAATACTAAAAACTAATTCCCACACTTAATAGCAGCGGGGCCAAAGGGACGTGTGCTCCTGGGGGTCCTGTCCTTTTAAACAATTTCCCACACATTTTTTATTCCCACCAGTGGATGTTTCTTGTTCTGCACTGCTGCATGTAGCGAGCGGAGTCACTGGAAGCACTTGCAAAAGAATTATGCCAGTTTGTTCTGAATGTGAAGCCATCGACTCCCGGATCGGAGCAGTTTAACAAGACAGCGCCGGATTGTCTCCGAGGATTCATTTAGTAAAAGAGATTGAAATGTGGTCAAATGCGCACTGAGGGCAGTTGCTGCCTCAACTTGCACGGTGAGTTAAGTGGCACTTCTCCGAACCCCATTTGGAGTTGCTCTTGATCAAAGGCATGGCACTCAGCCCCCTACGAGTCTACGGGGGCACGAACCAACCAGCACAATGGAAAAATCCAAGGGCCATTAATTCTACCCAATTTACCTTTCGTTTGGGTTTCATTTGGCCCCTCTATAAATTCAGAGGCAGCCAGCAAGAGCAAATGAAAGAATCCTTGTTAGGCGATCATTACTCTGCTAATTGCTTTAGGAATGTGCCATGCACTTAAAGTCAAGGTCAGGGGGAGGGCGCCAAGACGTGGGGAGCTGTAATTTGAATGCTCTATTGGAGGAGGGGCTGCCATTTTGGTGCATAGAGTGGGCTTCGGTCGAGGGAGTTAGGAGGTCAGAGATGAAGGAAGTAGTGTAATTATGCTGGTAACTACCAACGTTAAAGTCCCTTTGATTGAGGAGCGCGGCGGTACGGAGGCTGTGAATGCTGGATTCAGAGATGGGGCGTGGTTAAGTCGTTATAATAAAAAGGTCAAGGGTGTTATATCAGGTTTGAATCACGCTTGCTCCCTCTCTGCTATATTCGTCTCTTTGTCACAGTAATCAAGCATGACACAACTTTGGATTTTCACAGACAATAACTCTGATCTTTTCACTCTTTGTTTGTTTCACGTGTAAACTACTGACCGGTAGGCTCGTCAATTCCCGCCATCTTTTTTTCTCTTCTCTGTTGGGCTTTTCGTTAGGTCGCAGCGCCGCCAAGTCTTCTTCTTCTTCTTCCTCTTTATCCTCGTCCTCTTCCTTCTTGCCCCGGGAGGACTGGCATTTGAGGCCTGTGTGATTGTAACCCTTCCCACTGCGGTGTCTTCTGCAGAGAGAAGTCGGGATCGAGCTGGACAACCGCCTGGATGACAACGGATACTGCTGCCAGCACTGTCGCCGTGGTTACCGCTACTGCCGCCGCTACCACGAGCCCCTGGGTGGCTTCAACCAGTGGCCTTACTACTACCAAGGAGGCCGGGTCATCTGTCAGATTGTCATGCCATGCAACTGGTGGATCGCCCGCATGCTGGGGAGGGTCTGAGGAGGCGGCGTGCCGTCCTTGTTTTGTTAAATGGGGTTTTAACCGTTTACGTGAGACGTGCAAATTCTGCTTTTATATCCCAATCTGTTCGTTGGCTCACTAAGTATTAATCGCTTTAAAGCGTTCTTAAAAGGCATTGCTCGTTTACAGCTGCCTTATTTTCTCTGCTTATCTAACCATTTATTGTCCTTGCCATTTGATTCTGTTGAATGGGCGCAATTAGAGGACGTCACCAGAAACTATGCTGCTCCAAAGGGGGTGGAGGGGTTACTTCAGCAGTGTCTGTCTTGACCGTGTCATGCATTAATGTCTTACCTGACAGGGTAAAAATATTTTTCGTCTTCCTCGCAGTAGCAAATTATCTGCAAAAATCAAAGTGGTGGAAATGTTTTGTTTAGGATTTTTGGTGATATTCTTTAGTGCTTGAGTGGATAAAAACCCTTCTTCACATGCAATTAGAACACTACATGTATTTTATTTGAGGAAATGCCAAATAAGGGAAAGAAAAAAATCATTATATATATATATATTTCTTCCTGGCTTTATGTGTTTTAAGATCATGTTGAACTAAAGAGTTACAGTATAATTGAAGATGCAAGGGCCTCAGTTGTCTTTTGTGATTTAGTTACTGTTGTCTCATGCTCCATTGTTTCCCATCTTGTTGCAATCCACAAAATGCTTTAAATAGTCCTTCTGTTCAAACAGTTTCATCTTTGCTGAGGCAATTTTAATCTGCAACACCACATCTCAATCTGTCGAGCTGCAATAACTCCTCTGCAAGTAGCAGATAAGCAAGCGAGATAGACTTTTGCAATTGATGTTCTGTCATCAGAATAACAAGGTGCATTAATGCCCGAGAGTATTCAAGCAATGTGAGGTATTCAAAAGTCGAACAGGGAGACAGCTATGGAGCGATCATGTTGTCATGGTTTGCTTTGAAGCCTACTGTATGTTATGTCTCTTGCCAATTTTTTTTCCAATTAAAATCGCAATGTATGAATAATCTGAGTTGTCCTATCATCAAACACTGGATTTAAAAACTGATGAAGTGTTGGTTTTACGACTCATGGAATCAATACAAGAGGCAGACCTTCTCCATTCTCCATTAGTCCCATTGCTTGTTTGCGAAAGTATTTAGCTTCCAATTGACAGGAAAAAAACGTGTACGCTTTTATTGTTCCTCTCATAACCTTAGCCTCTCATGTGTATCTGATGCATACTAATGCATTGTTTACATTAATATAAAAGCACCTCGCCTGTTAAATAAAGCTGGATGTTAACTCATGTTTGCTCAGTGAGATAATAATGTCAGTGGCATTAATAATATTTTTCCAAGCGGAATGGATTTAGTGAAAAAGAGGGCAATACATTACATTACTACATGTAAATGGTTTGTGAATATGTTCATAAATGGAGTTCAGAATGCAACCGTATTGTTATTTTTGAATCAATAATGTCAATAGCCAAGGGCAATGTGGCAAACAAAGCAATTCTGCCGTGAGTTAACAAATGTCATAATTGCAAACATTTCTAAAAAACACTAGAAAAAACAGACAAGTGTACAACAAAGCCCCAAAGGCATTTCCGAAAAGTTCATATAATCAGTGATCATATTATTCATTTCTTACTCAGTCCCCGTTATCCCAGCAAATAGCCCAAGTTAGAACGGATGCACACACCATGCCGGTTGCTGTTGTAGAGCTTTGGTGTGAAATAGTGTGTAAAGTGTTATTATTTCATAAGATGCTGTACCTCCCGAGGGGTCCGGGGACTTTGAGGACTCTTTTGTATAGTCATAAGAGCAAAGTGCCATGGAAGCCCTGAGAGTCAATCTGAAAAGCGACTGCTCACCCTGACTGGAGAGGATGATACAGATATTACAGCCGGCTCCCTGAGAGCCGCTCGCGCCCGACGAGACAAAAGCCCAATAATAACCATGAGGGTCAAACTTCAAAGTACAAACGGCTCACAATTAAAAATCGTGGGTGAGACCCAGAAAGGATGCTAGAATGGTGGTGACCGTGCAGTTGCACGTAGATTGGAGCAAATTTTAGATCATGGTCCAGTTGAACGTCCAGACGCGCATTCCGCATCTTGGTATGCATTTGACAAATCTCAAGCGGTCTCTGAAAGCATCTTAAGAAAACTAGTTGAATGTCATACAGAGGAAAAAAAAAAAAAACAGCTTTTGAAGCTGTTAACATTATGTTCATGGTTTCCTTTTTAAACAAAATGACGGCAATAAAAGTAAATTTAAAAACAAGATAATATGCAATTGGTTTTGTAGAAAAGGAAAAGAAAACAGAAAAATGCAAACGATTCAACTACTCCAAATCCAATTCTTTGGTTGATAGCAAAGGTCTTTTTAGTAAAAATGAATGTTAACTTGCATTCCGTCTGGGTTCGACGCAGCTCAAAACTGTCCCCTTTAGATACAAAGCAAATCCGTGCCCCTATGACAGTGAACTCATTGCCTGTAGACCAGAATGAAAGAATTTATCATTTCAAATGCACAGTTTTTCTCATGCATTTCATACACTGTCTAGGAACACCCCCCTCCAGCACCTGTTTATCACTGTTTTGATGGGGCGAGGAAACAAGATTGACTATTCTGCAGGAAAATACACAGATAGCAGGTGTCTTCCAGGTTGGCACAGTTCAAAGGATTTTTCCCACCTGGCCTGAGGATTGGCCGCTATCATGGAGACTCACAAGTGAATTAATTCCTTTTGTTACTAATCAAAAATGCAGTGAAACTTTACTCACCGCTGCTTATTTTCACTTCGAATAATCCCTCGTTCATTTAGATCAATGAGTTGCTATTCCGGGGCGGAGGAGAGTGAAAACCAATGTATGCGGAGTGTCTGTATTTCGATTAGTAACCCGAAGGAATAGCGCTCACATTGTCCCGCTCTGCTGAGGACGCGTGTGTTACCAGTGCCACCTTGTGTAGAGAGACGTGTACTGCAGCAGCAAACAGGAGCTGCTTTTTCTCTTGTTTTAACATTTTATATATAGATATATCTATAGATATATGGATATACTTCTCTGAGAAACCCCTCCCCTCTGAAAATTGGTCTCTTTAACTTAACCATGGCCGTAAATTAGCAGACTGCATATGGCTGCAACGGCCATGAGACTGCGGCCGACTCCTGTTTCTCTGAAATGTTGCAGTCAGTGTGGTGACCCGATGGTTAAATAAGCTCTCCTTGTACTGCTCCTGCTACAGGCTGGAGGCACAATAATGTCAGCCGTCATCCTTCAACTGCTCCCACTGTGAGAGGCAGCATGGCACAGCAGTAAACACTAGCGCTGTGTCAGGGGCTGCAGGCGACACAGAAATAGTCGTCTTCCTCTCCCAGGACCCGGCTCTCGCTCCATCTTCGGGGTCTCTGACTTATTAACCAAAGGAATCGCAGAGACGCCACTGTTGCATTCATTCAATGTGTTAGTAATCCACAAAAGGACCTGCTTACTACGCGACAGCCGATCAATGATGTTTAAATGGAACGCAGGGTCATTGGTTTGCTTTGGTCGGATTCATTTCAGACCACAGTTCCACCTGTAAAGGGCTCTGGGAGATGTTTTCCGCGGAGAAGCAGGTTTTAATGGTGGTTGAGACTGAACTTCTGGCTTTGAGTGAATTGTGTGTGTGTGTGTGTGTGTCTGTCCATGTTAACCCTATGGCAAGATTGGATTGTGTGGCACACAGCTGTGCATGTGGGTGTAGACAGAGCTAGGCACAGTAGGCAAGCCCTGCTGCCAAACAGCTTCCTCAACACCAGCAGCCACCCACCCGCTCGTCCCCGACCCTGAAACAAAACACATTCGATTCCAAGCCTCTGCACCCCCTCACACCGGAAACACAGGCACAACTCACACACACACACACACACACACCAGCGCCAGTACTCAAGAGTCCAATCAACATAAACAAATGCTCTAACGGAAATCAATCCAAGTAGTGTGGAACCCCCTCCACACACACACACACACACACACACACACACACACACACACACACACACACACGGCTGTCTCGGGTTCTGGGCCTGTCACATGCTAATGTATTCATCCACCCACGGCAACTGAAGAGGCAGCGCTCCTAAGTACAGTCCAATCAGTCTGTGGCCTGCAAATGGTTCCAATCCAGTTCCCCACAGTGGCTTTTTCTCTCTTTTCAAATGCCATGTGGTCGAATGTCCCTCAAAGCTGCAGCAGAAAGGAGGCGGGAGTGCTTCATTTTCATTATCCCCGACGGTAAAAACATTATTGACGTAGTAACTCATTGCAAGCTACTTGTTTCCAATTTTTGGATTTTTATTCCCATTTAATTTCTCAAAAATGGAACTACTTGTGGGACATTTTATCTGCGTCTTGCATGATTTCAAGATAACTTTGCTTCCAACAAAAACAAGAAATTAAGAGGATATTCAGTGTTGAAGATTTTAATTAGTACATTGACTTTTTCTTAAAAATCTACTCTATATTCAGCACAGCTGAGGCAACTGACAACCCCGAGACAATAGAAGCAACAAAACATAAGCAGTTGACATATCTCAACATCTCACAGACAACAGCAGTTTTAGAAAAAAAGGAAATGCTGTTACGGAAATATATGCACGAGCAAAAAAAAGAGAAGAAGAAAAGAAGCAGGAAATCCCCACTCAAAGACGGATATCTGTGCAACTGTAACCCAGTGTAATTATTGATTGTCAAGAATTTGCATGTATTTTAACAATGGGTATACATTCAGAGTGTCTATGCAGACCTGGAGCCCTTTGGCTCAGTGCGGATGGAGGTCGGAATGTCTAAATGTCCTCACTCTACAGTCCGGGTGGAAAAACACGACCAATTTAGCCGCGATACTACTCGGGATCAATATGGCTTCATTCCCGGCGGGACCAGGGGGACAATCGCATGGCTGGCCTGAGAGGCCTTTACAAAGTCGGACAGCAAATCAAGAAGGCAGAGACTGGACTGACCTGAGAGCAGGAGAGGAAGAGAAGAACAAACAGGATCGTGCCTTCAAAGACATACTGATTGATACATTTGATACTGTATGCAGTTCACAAAATCATATCTTTTCGAATGCGTTGTCTCTGCTGCTTAACTGTTGACAAAGGTAAAGAGGTATGTCGGCCGAAAAAGAAGAAAGCACATTCCGTACAAGTTTCAATCAGACACACAACAGAGGGTATTTACATGAGAGAATATAATGCTGAACTGAGCACTCGAGTCCAAAACTCAAGAAAAATACCAAAGCTGATTATATTGAATGCTATACAAATGAAAAATGTTGTTCTTAAAAAAATACCAAATAAGCTTCCTGGTATTAACTTGTATATTCTTTGTATTTTCCTCATAAATGTGCCTTTTTTTTTATACAGAATTTAGAAATTCACAAAATAAATAAATTTACTATGGCCTTAAAATGTAATCTCAATTGTATATTATATGTACGTATATATATATATGTGTGTGTATATATATAGATCCATATATATTCCATTTATATAAACAGGATATAAATCTTAGAGCCCCTGAAGTTGAGGCTAGAGGCTAGATAGAATCTCTTTAACCTTGCGTATTCTTTCCCTCCGCTTTGTGCCTCACTACTCTGCAGTCTGCAGCTCTGTACAAACAGTTTCTATGTTGGACTATCCTTGGTGGACAGAAAAATGCCCGTTCCATAGTGACAGTGTTTTAAAGCCAGGAGTAATAGAGGGTAAATGCATACCGTTTGTGTGCATGTGAAAATAAAAGTTATTTTTTAAAAGTCTGAAAAAGCAATTTAGTCCGTTTTTCATCTTCTTCCCCCAGACGTTCCCACGAAAGAGTCTTGAGCTGTTTGAACTTCCTGTAAGGCACTCTTCAATAAAACTCTGAGATGGGTTTTTTTTTCTCTTCTCCGCTGGATCGGACACTGTGGTATCCAAAATTTGAATGTGGTTTATTTAAAAAAAAAGCAGGAAAAAATGTCCTTTGCGTGTTCTCAGAAGTCTGATTTCATTGCACCGTTTGGCATTCAGTCCCCAGTTTTGGTTTGTTGCGTTCTTCTCCTTAAACATAAAAGTCTGATGAGCTGTGAGGTAAGAAAATGGACTAACTGGCACATTTGGTGGGACAGGGATCCCTGGTCTATGCAATGGCTGTTCTCCTGGAGGGGAGGTTGGTGTGTGTGTGTGTGTGTGTGTGTGTGTGTGTGTGTGTGTGTGTGTGTGTGTGTGTGTTGCGCGTCTGTTGGGGTCAATGTCTATAGAAATAATCCCAGATCTGAAAACGGATTTCTTAGGAAAAACTAAAACACTACTCCCTTGATTTTTAAAATTAGGCACATGGTCACAACATAGGTGAGTAAACAAAAAATCCTGAGGCTGAACTGAGCAACCTTTAAGAGCAACGTCGTGTGAGATCCCTCGATCCTCGATCGGTGATCAGATCACTGCTGTACGGGAGGAAAAATATTAAGTCTGTTGTCAATTGTTGTTGCTTTTGGTTCTTTCAGCCCTAGGCCTCTGCAGGCTCTGTCTTTATCTGGATAAAGTTGGCAGGCAATTGGACAGACATTGGCAGCTCCTGCAGGCTTTTTATTCCCTGCTCAGGCTGCAGGGACATCTCCCCACGCACTTCCAGCTCCTCCACAGGGGTTAGACCCTCACCGGGGCTGCTGCTCTGTGAGAAATGTCCATTCAATAAAGTTTCACTCACTGCCCCATAGCCCTGGCTTTGACTGGTATCAATGATCACAGTCCTGTACCGCAGCTCGGCCTCCCCTATCTCAATCTCTTCTTTGTCAAACGTGTTTGCCGCCAGTGATGGATCGCCGTTCACCATCGACTGGAAGTAGCTGGGGTCTAGCATCTCCTCCTTGACCTGCAGGTCGCTGGATTTGAGCACTGTGGCAATCACGGTGCCGGGTTGCTGTGCCACCATGGTCTGCCCACTGGTCGTGTTGATGGTGACCAGGCGAGCGAGACTGCCGAGGCCGGAAGCGTTGGAGCTGATGACTCCCGCAGTGGAAGTGCAGCAAGCGGTGGAGGAGCCGAGGCTTGTGACCAGGAGGTGCTGAGGGAGGCCGTCCTGCAGGTTGCTGGCTCCGCCCGCTAGAGTGGTCGTCTGCATGGTGAGCACGTCTTTACCACCCGCTGTGGTGGAGGGCATGGTGTGGAGGATAACCCGAGGTGGGGAGGAGTGGCAGGAGTCCCCGTTGGCCAGAAGAGAGTTGAGGGGGAGAGACTGGAGCGAGCCGGGAGAAGTCAGGACCATCGGAACCGATGCAGGAGCAGTCAGGGCCCTGAAAGACAAAATGAACTCAATATGCAAGCCTGCTTCTTCATCTTCTCTGACAGAGCTGTTCAGTTTGTATCTTGGCAAATATAGACATGGATTATGTTTTAATGGAACGCTATTGAGAAACTCATCCACTGCGCAGTGCTCTGATCCTAAACAGCAGAGCTAATGCCCTTCTTAGTATAACAAACAGCGGTGGCCAGCTCTACTGCAGAAGTGATTATTCTCCTTGATTCCTAACCTGCAGACAATGTTTAACAGCTTCAAAAGCAGAATGACTGATAACATTTTGTTTATACAGGCGTTATATATTTAAAGAAAACATGGAATACCAAATCAACACCTCTCTGACATCAACAACTATTTAACTGTGGATTATTTTATGTATAAAATATTGTTACTGTGTCCAACCCTCTACATAAAGGGTTAACCAAACAGTCTATCGCAATTTTTGAAAAGCTGACGAGGTTTTAAGTTACAAATGAATTCCCTTTCAAGTGTCAACTAATCAAGGGCCCGCACGCGTTGAATCATTCACATGATGAGAATTTTAAGGGCAAGTAGTTGTGTGCACGTGCATGAGCACTGGATTCAAGTAATTCTGTGTGTGTCATGGGTTTTCACTTTGAGACCTTTCCAAAACCTCCAAATGGATGAATTTTACACCTCAAACGCTCCATTAAGCATGTGGACGTGGAATAGATCCAGTCTCCAAACTACCACAATGATCGGGATATTTGACGGATGTGAAAATCTGATATATATATCCACTGATGTGAATATTTCTTTACACATTTCATAGAGCATCCCTTTCAGGAACGGTTTGATGACTTATTTTCTTTCTTGTTGAGAGTTAGATTTGTGTTTGTGTCTTGTCGCCTCGTTTACAGTCAGTTTATCTTAGCACAAAGAAACAGGACAAACCTGTACACGGGTTAATTGAAACCCACCCTAGTGGCCCCTGCAAAGCTGTTGTGTGTTTAACATGTATCAGATTACAGATAGCAGGTATGTGCCGGTTATGTGCTGGAACGATTTCTTTATTGGGAACAGTGACTTCCTTGAGTGTTTTTGTCACTATAAAGGTCGCGGATCTCCTACCTCGCCGCTTGGTCTTGAATTGTCGACCCCTGGTTGCCCTGCAGCATGTGGACAGAGTGAAAGAACTGCTCGCCCTGTCCGTTAGCTTCTTGGTACAGAATTTCATCGCAAGGCTCCTTCTTCATGTTCTTCACCGAGCCTTGGTGCTGACCCGGAGCCCTCCCGTGGCCTTTGGACCCTCCACGGCCCATGGGCCGCCCGTTGCTGGATCTGTGATTCCCGTAGCCGACGTTGGCGTCGGAACCTCCGTCTTCGTCCTCGATCACCACCAGATCTGTTGGCATCTCCTTGAATTGATAGACCAGCCGCTGCCCCTCCACTTTGGCCAGGATGCCTCTCTGATAGTAATACCTGGATGTTAAAGTACAAAAGGAGTTTTTCAGTGTGCTGTAACCGATCAACATTATTTGTGTCAGAGCTGCATGTGGACAATACCATGCTTTGCTTAGTTCCGCTTACCTTAGAGCTCTTCCCATGGTCTCATAGTTCATGTCGGGCTTGTTCTTGTGTTTTCCCCACAGCTTCGAAACAGCCTTGGAGTCAACGAGCTTAAAGATGCCTTTCTCCCGCTGTGTCCACTTTATGTATTTGGGACAAGTGTTCTTATCCTGCAGTAGAGCCAGAAGGAATTCCCACAGGTAGATTGTGTTGCCTGCAAATTGGAGGGGAGGAGGTACTAAATTAAGTCATGTTTTCAACATTAATGCACATCAGACATTCATGGTGGGGGCCTTTGAGCTCCGCTACAGACATCCATAATGCATTTGGTCATTTAGATTCATGCATAAAACGTCATAGGGCAGCCAGAAGGTTGCACGAGGAACCACCCTATTGTCATAACCATCGTTGTGTTGGATGCATGTGTGCCTCGGAAGTGAATTAATTATTCCATGCCTGGAAGTAGATTAATCAAATTTGCGAGATGCTTTGGCCAGAAGCGGTTCGAGTAGCCGCTTAAACTGTAGACACCGCGACAGGGCGATGTACACGTGTGCAGCTGTACCGGCGGCTCCCCGGCTCCCCTCCTCTTTCTGTCACACCGTATGCCACAATGACGGGTTTCACATCGAGCACTAGTCTGCTTCTGTTGCCCCCCCCCCCCCTCGCCCCCCAGCCTGCAATCACTTCTGTTTCCCTGCGAAACACAGCACTCCTGGATCCCCTCGTCCATTAACTCGCCCAGATTCCACCCAGCTGGACTGCAGGGGTCGAGGAATGCTGTATGCGCACTCCACAGGAGGCAACGCAGCGCACACCAAGGAGGGGGAGACCTTGATTTTTATTGGCTCATTACAGAGAAGCGGACAAGTTAGCGAGGCTTACCTTTGCCCTCTTTGCTCTTCTTCCTGAGTGGTAGGTTAGGGGTGGTGATGGGAGAACAGGGTCTCACCACCCGCGGCTTCCGCACTATAATTCAAATTGAGGGGTTTTGTGTTACGGGGCGAGAGTTTGCAGTGAAATCATCCAATTACCTACAACACTGAATTTTTAGACCAAGAGATAATTCCTCTCGGTGTTACCTTTGTTTGGTTTCTGAGGTTTTAAGGGACCCTTTTGGGGTATCTCATCCATTGATGAAGTGTCCTCGTCTAGGGACATGTCAAGGGCTCCATTATCCATCTGGTCAGGCCTCAGGGGAGCATATGTCAAGTCTGACTCCAGCAGAGTGCCGTAGGTTAGGACTATACATCAACAAGAGATACAAAAACACAGACAAAGCACACAGAGAAACTTTAGAATGTAGCTCATGCCCCAAATATGATCAATGTTGGATCAAAGCCGAAACGTAAAATATGAAACAGGACTTACTCATACGCTTTTCGTCCAAAATGTTGTTTGGAGACTCCATGTTAAGAAGAGCTGCTGCAGCTTCGTTCGTCTCCATGCTGTCTTCTGGGTCAGAGACTGTCGTTTCTGTAAAGCGGACAACCACAGATCCATCATTAGGAAATGAACGTGGGTAACTGTGTATATTGTCCAATACCAAGCACCTTTTTTATGTATTGTGTGAAAGAGTTTAAAAAGGTAACATCAAGACCTGCTTTTGTGCCAGGGGAAGTAAAACATCTTGTAAATAGGTGATGGTTATTCCTCCTTCCACATGCCCATAATGATGATAATACATTTTAAAGGGAGAACATTAGCATGTTAGGGATTATTTAAAAAATATTCTCTTTTCTTTAAAACAAATCAGAATTTTCAGTTGAAACTTTATGTGAATGATTAAACAAGAATACTTCATTGAAATTGTCCCAATTGCATAATGTTTATATTTTCCTGTTGATTAGGATTAAATCACATACTCGATGGTGAGACTCACATTCAGTTTATGAACAGTAAACATTTTTGTAAATCCGAGACCAAATGTGGTCGATTTACTGCTTTGCGTGACGTTAAACACACTAGTGTGTGTGTGTGTGTGTGTGTGTACCTAACGGAACACACTTCCCTTTAAAATGACAGTAAAGTGAAATGTCTTTACCTGAGAGGTCGACCCCGCCCCCCAAGATGGAAGGCTCCTCCACGGCGTGGAGCGTCCTGTCCACCATGATGCCATTGGTCACCTCGTCGGACTCCAGGCCCGAGTAGACCTGCAGCAGATCGGCAGCAGGCACTTGCTCAACAATTACAGCTGGGAACACCGACGGGTCGTCGAGCTGCACGGAGAGAGGACACACACATGCAGTGAAATGAATGAGAGTCCGTCACACAGGGAGGCAGAGGGCTGAAGGGTTCTGTGCATCTAAAATGCAATAAAAACACCATCAATTCCTTCGCTACACTTCATAAATTCAATATTAACCCTCCCAGATGACATTGCATTCATGTTATAACCAGATTTGGTCCCTTATCTTTATTGCCTTGTAAAATATTGAATATTCGTACTCAATGTTTTCAGCTAATAGCGTGGCGGAGAGCTCATTTCTGTGGAGTTGCAGCGGCCCATTGGGACCCGCTGAATAAGACAGGAACCAGCTGTTTGATTTGGCCTACTTCTCCTGAGAAGTTAATCTTATGCTCAGAAATTACATAAACCCAATTGAATGTTAATGGATCAATCGTGAGTCGCAGGCAAGCACCCCCTTCATCATGTCCTAAACCTGCTTTTGGGAATTCTAACCTCGCCGTCTCATTTCAGGCTTGGCTCAGCCTCATACAGGAAGGAGCCGGGGGACCATGCGAATTACTGGAGCTCGGGCACAAACCTTTGAAACAAGTGAGGGGCCCCAACATACTGGAGAGCCACTCAAACACAGTCTGGGTCGAGGGCGCTCGCTGGGCACTCGGTTCGTGTCAATGGGTCATGTGGTCCTCTAAAACTTTTTTTAAGTTGCTCAAAGTGACAGCTTGTTTAATTTGTTTATTTCAAAGAGCATACAAAACACAAGCTGCACACAAACAACACGAGAGGCCCATCTGATTTGGAAAGCATCAAACTAAATTATTCTTTTTTATGGTCAAATCAGGACTTTAGTTTTAAAAGAAAAGGTCACCTGGGGGGTTTTTTGAAGCAAAGAAACTCAGTGTCATCCCCAGCAGATGGCAGCAGACTACATTTTAAAAGTGTACTGAAAGAACATCAGTGCCATCGAATTACTCCAACCTATTTGTGCATTCTATTCTGTAAGTGTGCACTCTTGCTTCAAACCACATTGAAACAGAAATAATATTGATTAAATGTTTATCTTAACGGATATCTTTCGGCTCACCTGGGATTAGAGAGGTGCATCTTTTTCTGAAGATAAAAGATTAGTCAAATGTGTGTCCAAACAAAAGATGAATATCCGTATCAGCAGACGAGCACCTGCTCTCAACAACTCACAAGCTGAATCAACTAGATTTTTATTGTTGTCCCAGCTCATGGAGACATATGACAAAACTCCTACACTTAAAACCACTCAACAGAAAATCAGTTATTAATAGATATGTATACACATGTTTAAATTATGGAGCCATTTAACCCGGATCAATTGAGAAGCTGTTTTTACAGCCGTGACCTAATTAAAGAGGTAAGCGAATAGAGAAAAGGTGCAGAAAGAGCAACATGAATAAAGGCGTATCTGTCTCTTTGCACAAGTGTCCATTGTTGGTTCGGACCTCTGGGGCACACCAGGTGTCTGGGCTTTGAGCCGTTGGGGGGGTCGGGAAGAGGAGTCCGTGGATGCGGTCGGGCCTCCCGAGTAAGACAGAGAGCAGCTACCAGAGGATTGTTTATTAGTAATACGATACTCTGTACATAATGTAGGTGACTGGCCGTCTAGAGCGAGTCGGCTCCAAAAGGCGTCCGTGATCAGTTTGAAGAGCGTCAACAAATACCTAAAAGCAGCAACACCTCAAGGTGCTAATAAAAACTGCAGAGTTTTGCTTTGACTACAGGCAGCCTTACTGACATACACTGCATGTCTCCCATTAATCTGAGTTGGTGGTAGACATATTATCAGATAGCTAGACAGTGAGGCTACCACGTCTCCTTGTCTGGGCTTCAACGATGCTTGCTGTCCTTGAATGAGAGTCAAGCATGTGTGCCAGTGTAGACACAAGGCATTTCGGTCTGTTGAGCTCCTGAAACAGCAGCAGCAGCAGCCCCCCCCTCCCCCTCAGTGCAGAAAGTCTCACACAGTTTGCTGACAGGACAGGACATCCTGGATCAGTTTTTGCTTGGAACGTCACGACTATTAAAGAGGGGGAACGTCTTTTAAAGCATTCAAACGGTGATGAGGTGAGGCGCCCAACATGTTACACCGCCGGAAAGATGTAATATATATATATACACATGTGTGTGTGTGTATATATACAACACATCATAAAGGTCATAACTGCTTCTTCCTCTTTGCTCACTCGGATAGTGTTTCTGGTAGGGAAACAGGAGAGATAAGAATCGGGTCGATTTGCATTTTGAGTTCCCCATTTTGCCTTTGAGAGCAACAGCATCTGTGCAAGCTGTTCCCTTCACACCCAATTCTCTTCTGCTTTACCTGACCAGCCACAATTAGTCCAACTGTCTGTACACTTTCAATATCCTCATTATTCTGATATTTGAGAGCGCGGCAGCCCGTCACACGAGAGACACCACCACGTTGTTGTAGCTTGAAAATGGAGATGTCGTTGCATTCTATTTTTAGTGCAAATTTGGGGGGGGGGGATAATTATTTTGGGCAGCTACTTATTGACGTAAAACCCAACTTTGCACGGGTAATCATTACAGAATGCACTCTATTCTTTCACCGAGCTTCGACAGTTTGGCCACTGCGGTTCCATGTTGTGTGTTGGTCCTTTTTAGGGGACTTAATAAATAGGGGCATAATTACTACACAACAGGCCAAGTGGGTGCAGCACAGAACAAAACTCTAGCATCGAAACAATGAAAGACCTTTGACTAGAATCACCCCATCCCTTCTAAACAGCCTCGCAACTGGTCCGTCAGGTCGGGCCTGAACTGGCGCTATTCAGGGATCCAGTGACGACTCGTCACTCCAGATGCACACATACAGATACCACTACGGAGTAACGCACACACACATCCGCACTTACAATCAATCCTGCTCCACAGGATTCAGACACGGTTGTGGGGATGAGATAACTGCAAACCTGACCGGGGCAACGAAAAGACACATAGGCACAGGTTTTCACACACAGTATGCACACACACAGCAACCTTTGTGCCACAAACGCATTCATGGCCAAGCCCCACCCTTTCCCTCCCACGCACCCTAACCTCGCAGCAGGTTTTTTTTTGTCTTTACAGTTCTGCGCGCCCAGCAGCCCACACTACTCTCCCCAGACCTCCCTCCATCCTCTCCTCGGCTTACCTCTGGTTCCCCGGCATGCTGTTACAGTTAAAGATCACAGGCTCTGAGCCCGAGCTAATCCCACCCCGGTGGCCATGCCGTTTAGTTTTGTCCTCCTATGAAAAACCGCTCGCTGAAGAAGATCTGGAGGAAAGGATGGATGGTACTAAAGGATCAAACAGTGGTCCAACTGCCTTTTGATTGAACCGCAACTATAGTCAAGCCCAGTTATGCGCTAGAGCAACAAACGGTTCGACCTAAATGAGTTTTATCCAGCTCAATGCGTACCTGGTGGATTTCGTCCATCCCGTTGCTGGCAAATTCAAACACCAGTTCATTGGGCTGCACCGCAGTCGCCATGTTTAGTTCAGAGGGGAAGGGAGCAGGCCAAATGATCCCGGCTACGACCACTCCTGGCTCCCGAGACTCGGCTTCACCTCACAAAACGGCTTTGCTCGTGTCCTCCTGTTCTGTGATCTGGGCGGGTAGCGCTCCGACACAGAGGCCACCAGTTTCAGAAGAGTGTTGCAGCCCAGGTGGGAGCAGCCACGTCCCTCTCTGACTCGGAGGCTGGGTCCCGCTGCGCCAGGAGCATCTACACCTGGCAGAGAGAAGGGGAAAGAGACACGGGTCAGGGGACATATTAGATCACTGATTTCTCTGAGAGGCAAGAGAGGGTGGGATAGCGATGCAAGAGGGTCTGTTCCAGAGGACATGAAAACCGGAGTGCTTTGAGGCCTAAAAGTCACTATTCCACTTGTACAGACTTACATAGTTTCAGGCAGGAGGAAATGCGGTAACTCACTTAAACCTGCCTGAAAAACCCTCCTATGGATTCACAAAGCAAGTTAAGACCAATGTGCAAGCATTCAACACCAAGAAAAGCAGAAAACTCTCCCATTTTACAGCCTGAAAGTATTGTGCACTTTTGCTGAGAAATAAAGGAGCAACACGACACGTGAGGAGAATCTCACTGCACAACTGACTCATTTCATCACCAACGCCTCTCGTTTCATCGCTGTGTCTGTCCATGAAGTGGAAAGACCCCTCGGCACACCCCCAAAGACCATAAAACCCGGGGGGGGGTATGATATTCTCATCACATGAGAGGGGTTTAAAACAAACCCGCCCTACATGGGGGATGACTCGCCTGATGATGCACTGGAAGCCCCCTCTGTGTGCAGACCCTCAGGGAGTTACTGTGATCACAGGCAGCGGGGGAGGGAAACTCCTGGCCATGTTCCCTGTCAGGGTGCATGTATGTTTGTGTGTGTGAGTGTGTGCGTTGAGGTGTGTCCAAACAACCAGTGCCTAATGCCAGGTTTCAGTGCTGAAGGACGGGGGGGTAGAATAGAATAGACGGACACCCCGCCTCAACACAGCCCCCTTCCTCAAAGAGCTGGCCTCAGTAGAGACGGAAGAGACGGCAGTGTTCAGTACAGCCCCTTCTCACACACACACACACACACACACACACACACACACACACACACACAAACATCATTCCTGTGTTTTCCACTGCTGCAGGGTGGAGCTTGTTTGCTTTGAAATGCCTGCGTAACTGACAAAGTTGCATTCCAGGCCCGGGGGAGGTGGGTGGGGGGGGAAGGGGGCAGTAACAGAGAAAAGTGATAAATGAAACC